GGATCAAGCTGCCTACGAATGACTATATCAAATTGCTTGTGTAAAGCACTATCAACGTTCCAGTCGTCCATCTCTAACCCTGAATTCGATTTCTTCAACTCACCAATGCTAACCTCTACACATTCCATTATGGCATTTTGGATATCTCGCATAGAGTCAGACATCGAAACCTCAAGTTCAATAACCTCGGCTTTCTTCTTGCCTTCCAAAGCTTGAGCAACATTTATATGGAATCTTGGCCATATTGAGACGTTGCGTAGGAATAGATTTCGCATCATAGTGGACAATGGCGAAAATCCAGTCGCAAATGGTTCTGGATTGTCCGAAAAGGCTTTGAGAAATCCGGCCTTATTTTTCTGTCTGTATATCCGAAGTATGAAGGCCTCCAGTGATGTAGCTACAACCTTATCTGCATGTAACACTACCACGCCAGTAATTGTCTCTGTGTTTAATAGACTAGTCAAAAGATCGACCACAAGAATTCTAGATGTAATGCTAAATATTCCTCCTTGTGCATACATCTTTTCTCTCGTGCCGACACTCATGAGATCTGTATTGACGACAGAAAGACCTCGCGCTCTAGGAGCCATGCTGATAGCAGCGTGCTCTGCCAGTGCTTCTCCAATCCATCCGTTCTCTCGATCATCTGCACCAACCAGTATTATCAGGTTATTTCCTGCTGCATCATATGAATGGAGGAGGTTCGTGACAAGTCTCAAGAGGCCAAGGCCGCGAGCAAGAACGACAAGCTCATCTTTTTGTCGAAGCTCTTGGAATATCTCTTGTTGATATTTCTGCAGTTCCCATTAAGATATTATTCATACAAAGGAAGATTGAATTTACCAATGGCAGTGACAGCTTCACGGGTTGTTGTTCGCCGTTTGATGAAGACATCTTGGAGGTATCATGACGCGTTGGCCAATTGATGATTAACGCGAACCACACACGATGTCAGAAGTAGTTTTCGATATACACTTTACCCGTATCTACCCACGTCAGATGTCTCGGATGGCCTATTTTAGGCAAAGACTTGGTTGATCTGATCTTAATGGTTCATTCACTATCAAAATCTTGATCTTATTACGAACATTGTTCGAGAACTCATAGTTATTGGTAGTTGAAGCTAGCGACAAAGCTAGAGATAGCTTTATTCCGTGGTCTTCGAGCAACGCCCGCCTACGTCATGAGGGGAAATATGGCTTATATAGAAGAGAGAATGAAGGATCCTGTAGATGGAAAGCTCTTATCTTCATACCATCTAACTCTACAAACTACGAATATACGAATCTTCTCAAAGTCAAATAATTCATCCAAACAACAAACCCTACATCATGCCTGCCGGTCCAGACGAAACGTACCAACACAAAGCCGGTGAATTGACTGAGCACGTTATGAAGAACTCATCTTCAAAGACCGATAACAATGCTAGCGATCATCCCCTCCATAATGAAGGCGAAGCAAAGGGAGATAAAGTCCAAATCAACTACCACGCGGCAAACCCAGGACCTGCTGTCCCTCAAAGTATGCCGGAGCAGGAGGGATCCAAGGCGGACCGTCAAGCAAAGACTGCTGCTTTGAACAAGTAAAGCTCTTCGGTATGCCTATGCATTAACCTACCCGATAGACTAAACTGATTTGTTAGATTGTAAGAGAACCTTACACGAATCGTGCGATCATTCCGACGAAATGGTAACGAAGCAAGAACTGATGGATGGCTGGCGTTGGGAAAGGTGGAATGGTTAAGGAAACGGATGATAGTGGACATAATGTGGTACATATTTATTAGCAAAGACGACCAGTATGATATAAAACTTCCGTCTTTCTCAACATATATGTTGATGCGAGTGGTGTGCTGTGTATGTTGTCATCCTCATATACTCGTACAAGAGTGATTAATCCCCATTTCATTGCAAGTCGATTGTCATGCAGTACCTACGCAGTACAGATGCACCGGTGAGTAGGTGGTAGTTGTATAAGACTTATAGATTTTGCCTGTCAAAATATCAATTTAAAACGTAAATTATGATGGCTTCGTGGAATACTCAAAATAATATAGATGCCTGTGACCAGTACGCGCGTTACAACAGTAATATGAAACGATGTTCGCATTCGTACTTTCGGAAGATGTAATCCGATGTGGAATTGTGAGATGCCCCATTCGTTTCTTTGAGATTCGGAGCATTCTGTGGCTTTGCCCCGACCAGTGGCTGAATCACTTGGCATTTTTGTCGTCGCAGCATTGCCCATACGGAGTACGACAATCTACATCTGTGCCCAACTGACATTGACCGTATCAATCATTGTGAATAAGCACATATTCGCTGCGGAAGTTGGCTACCTAAAGGACCAGTACCATTCGCTTTACTTTTTGGTCCAAATCTCTTCTCCGAATCATTGTGATAGGAAAGGAATCATCGCACAATTGTCGCTATTTTCCAATGCTTCTAAGAAGTGTGAGAAGTGCGACCAACACGAGAGCAATCTCCCACACGACCGAACCCTATTTCCAAAAACCCTACGAAGATACATATTATAGAAGAAGTTCCGATACGTGATCAAGTTAAAAAGTCTATCGAGGCCTACAGATATCCAATAAGCCTACAAAATGCCTTCCATATTGTCAGACGATGATAAGGAGACGGTCAAACGCATGGTACCAAAGGCCTCGAACAAAATCCAGGCAGTAGCAGTCGCCCGTCTATATATTGCTTATCCCGATCGTCATAAATGGACATATACTGGCCTACAAGGAGCGGCAGTTCTTGCGAATGATCTTGTCGGAAATACCTACTGGATAAAACTTGTCGATATCTCAGTCAGTGCTTCTCCTCTATACTAGCCCGGCAGTACCTCATCAATCATCAATGCTAACTCTTATGTTATAGTCTACGAACAAAGGTGTAATATGGGACCAAGAGATATATGATACTTGGTCATATAACCAAGATCGAACATTCTTTCATACCTTCGAAACAGAAGAATGTCTGGCTGGACTGTCCTTCGTGGACGAGAAAGAAGCCAAAACCTTCATGAAAAAGATGAACGATCGAGAAAAGAATGCCAGTAAAGCTACAAAGGCCAATCCCTTTGGAGGCGCTGCTCCGGCTCATAAACACAGTCTCCTTGGTGGATTCTTCGGTGGACACAGACATTCTTCTGCTCCATCGATACAACCTACTCCCCCCGATTCGCCTAGCTACGTACTCCCACCTTCACAACCGGCGCATCAAGCGCAGAACCACAGGCACTCGGGTGGAAGCTTCAGGACAGGGCAGGCCGAATATGCAGCTTTGGAAGCGATCGATCCTCATTGGCGAGAAACATGGGGTGAGGACTTGAGAGAAATGGGTATTACAGACGACATAATCAGGGATAATCAGGATTTTATTGCAGATTATATTCGAGAGAAGCAAGCTCAACAAGTTATAACACCTACGCCTAGTGGTATCGAAAATCAAAGAAATAAAGCCCCTCCTCCACCTCCACCTCCAGCAGCACCTCGAACACGTTCCGATAGTCCTCAAAATTCTTCTGCTGGTCATGGACGAGGTGCACCACCTCCACCTCCTGCACCACGGCGATCCAAAGCAGATATTGCTCGGGAGCCAACACCACCAAGAGAGCCTTCACCGCCCAGGGGTCCCCCTCCCCCCAGGTTTGCAGCTCCACCGCCATTCGCAGATGCTGGAAAATTTGCGCATACCAATGATAGAGCACCTTCTCGAGCACATGCTTCTTCGAATCCAGGGCCACCCCCACCACCTAGACCTGCGAAGACGCCTATCGAAGATTACGAACCAGGGGAATCAGGTTCGAGATTTGGAGTTCCTCCACCTTTCACAGGGACAAGAATTACGGCACCACCTCCTACTCCACAACGAGGTCCTGTTCCACCCCCGCCTCCTAGAGATATCCATCAATCACACAGCAGTCATGCTATACCGCCTGCACACATTCCTCCTCCGCCTTTACCGCCCAAAACTCCATCATCCCCGGGTGCTCCCCCCTTACCTCCTGCTTCTACTCGTCCTGTGCCTTTACCTCCGAGAGACACTGCACCACCTCCACCTCCTTTGCCACAAATGAGCGCCCCACCTCCACCACCTTTACCGCAATCTGCTGCTCCACCTATTCCATCATCTGCTGCTCCTCCACCTCCCCCACCGCCTGGACCTCCCCCAGCATTTGGAGGACCACCTCCCCCTCCCCCTCCACCTATGCCATCATTTGGCGGTCCTCCACCACCTCCGCCACCTCCAGGAAATGGACCTCCAGCTCCTCCTCCACCACCACCTCCTCCAAATCGCGATTCTGGCAATGCTTCAGGTGCTCCGCCACCACCTAAACCTACTGGTGATCGTGCCGACCTTATGGCAAACATTCAAAAGGCCGGTGGTATTGGAGCTCTCAAGAAAGTTGACCGATCACTAGTCAGAGACAGAAGTGCTGCTGCCGTTCCTGGTGCAGATACTGGACCTGCAGGTAGTGGACTTCCTCCAGCTGGTGCATCTTCAGGAGGTGGAGGTGGAGGTGGATTGGCGGATGCATTAGCAGCTGCTTTGAATAAGAGAAAGCAGAAAGTTAGTGCTAGTGGTAAGTTTTCATTTCATAATCTTAGAGTTTGTGTCCTTGGCTAATATTTTGATCAGATGACGAAGCGGAAGATGATGATTGGTAGATGCGATGATGTGATTGGTTGTTTAGTTTGGTAGAGGAATGAAGTCAAAAGGGGGGCGAAGTTTGTAGTATATTGAGCGTTTACTAAGTCAAGTAAAGAAGAGACGTTCAGTCAAAGCCCTGTTAGTCGGAATTGGCTGCTGTAAAGTAACGTGGGTGGCTTAGGAGATATGGGTAACTCAAGTGCAAGGAGCTTTAGTAGTTAAATCAATCGAAAACATTAAAAATTGGAAATGACAGGACGTGTACGTCGAGATTATGTATGCAATGTGGTCAAACCTTGAAGTGGTACATTCAGTTCAGCGCAGATTGCAGGTGATACATTCAAAAGAAAAATACCATTTTATTATTCGAATAGCCGTCAGTCTATGCTACGTAGATTGGAATTAAGAGTCTTGGTTAATACATGCATAACGTCTCTCCCACTATACAAGTATCGCCAGTCGAATGAAGCACTAGAAGGAAAAATGCCTGTCGAGGTTCTCGGGATCCAGCGAGTGGAACGATGACCAGATCCAACGAGATTGAGAGAGAAGACAGTCTTTCTTTCCATCCCCCTAACCACCACTATCAACCGTGTAGGGGAGCCACTAACCCCCAGAACATTTTAGATATCATCAATATCAATCTCCTTGCCCTTTCCTCCTTCAGCAGCATCATCAGAATCGCTACCACTATCTCTGTCGTCATCGAACTCGAAGTTGCAATCTCCGTCTTCGCCTTGTCCGTAGGTATCGGTCTCGTTGATCTTTGCGCTCTCGGGGAGTTCTCCGTAGGCCTTCAAACTTCTGGCTTCGTCGGCGCTGTACTTAAGGATGACATCTCCCTTCTCATCTTGGTAATCACGGAGAGAAAGGAGAATGATATCTCCTTGGTTGATCCAGACCTTCTTTCTGAGCTTTCCACGGATATGTGCAAGACGTCTAGTACCATCAAAGCAGAGAGCTTCTAAACGACCGTTTCCGAGCATCTTAATAACTTGGGCATATTCTGCAGGAAGTTGTTAGTTGGTCGTCTGCAGAGTAACATGACTTGAAAAACAAGGAGCGGTAAAGGAGAAAGTAAAAGTAGATAGCGGGTGTAAATAGTAGCCACAGGGAGTGTGTACCTTGACCTTCTTCCTTGAAGGTTAGTTCACGCTTCTCGTTGTCGTTCTCGTTCTTTCCACGACGCCTGTTCTTTCCTCCCTATTTTTCGCAACTGTGTCAGCCTAGATCAAGATAGTGGGGTGGAAGATTTCCAATAAAAATGCGACAATTTCTTACCTTTCCCTTATTCTTAGGCATATTTGCTGTTGTTTTACTTTACTATCGATTCTTGGATTTCGGTTTGAAGGGTGTGTGTGGTTTGCGGTATTGTTATTTTGGTTGTGGTATTGGAATAAGATTAGTGAAGAAGGAAGAAGAAGGCGATTAAGTAGCAAACAATAATTTATTTCTGGGCTGGAGTAGTGTCATAAATTGTGGTTCACTAGTGGTGGGGTCTTGGCGCACGCTAAAGAGATCCGGTCCGACCAAATTGATGAATTCGCTTTGTTACGGCTGCATTGTCATTGATCGAGACCCTTGATTCCAAAAGATGATAATGCAAAAAAACAATGTTCAATACATCCGCCAGTTTTCAAAGTCATTGTCTACTGTTACAAAAACAAAGCACAATATGAACTAGGAGCCAATGATTCTGACGCACACTACTCTCACCTCAAGAACATTCCCAATCCTCCACTGGAGATGGCTGCTAGAGCGACTGGAACAGCTGCAATTGCTGTGGAATCGAAATTCTCGCAGCTGATACGTTCCGGTCAACTGAAATCAGTAGATGCTCTAGCTTATGGATCATTCAAAGGTATCACAGGGGACGATCACTGTTTTTCTTATAAGCTTTCCGCTCACCACGCCTATGGCTCTCATCAAACTCCAGCGGTATCTAAAACCTACAACCCAGACCACTATAACATTCAGCACGTTCTGGTCAACAAGACCTCGCCTTTGTGGCTGTCTGTATTTTGTGCGAAAGTTCATGGAGGAAACAAGAAAGTTATACGAACCCATATGGTACGGAGGATCAGAACTGCAGTCAGGGAAGCCTTGAAGAACCACAATTATGACTTGTCTGGAAGAAGGATATCCAACAGTATAGATGGGGGTAGGGAGGGCGGAGACCTAGTTGGCACGATGATAATATCTGCTAAAGATAAGGCCTTGACTGCAAAGATGGATGTTTTACAAAATCAAGCGGAGATGGCTGTGACCGCATTGATACGAAAGTTCAAGCTAGAGCGTGAAGCTCAACATAACAAATCAAATCAGAATCCCAGCAAACAGACCAAGGGCATACCCATTGAAATGAAAAGGGTCCAGATGAAAAATGGAGCGAAGGAAAAGGAGGGTGGTACAACAGTGAACTTTCCAAAAAAGAAGAAAAACACCAAGAATAAGGTATTTGGTGGAACGCTCTATCAAAAGTGATGGAAAATAATGCAAAATAAGAAATAGAAAAAATCTTAAACGTTGCCACGTTTTGATAGCCAGACTATATAGCCTTCACACATTATTCTAAAGATATAAAATATGTATATACAGTATTGCATTTGCTATCACACATACCATAACATCTTGAAGGAAGTTCACACCAGAAATGTTTTATCAATTTGCGGCTGTGTCAGATCCAACCAATTAGCGCCGCCTAGACACACGCTGGAGCTCTCCAAGCTAATCTAGGACGATCGCAATCGCGAAGCTGTCGCAACGTATCTTAAAGAATTCCGCTCCCTTTTGGCACATTAAATAGTGTATTCGCCATGTTGATTTCACTCACCGTGGGTAAAGTCGATGCCGGAGTGGCCGTCTTATTAACTCAAGATAAACGACTCGTAAGTTATCCTCTCAACAATGATCCAATCAACTGCACATTGACTACATATATACAACTTCGTCATTGCACATGTTACTGCCCCCAACCTCCGTGACTGACAATGCCCCTCCCAGATTGAATTTCCATCTATTCTCCTTCCACCCAACATCACATCCGGTAGCATCGTCGATATTACCGTTGCACGAAACCTCGTCTCGGAAGAAAAATCCCAAAAATCATTCGTCGCTCTCCAAGATTCTATCTTCAATTCATTTGGTGCATCAGAACCGTCTGCACCAGTCCTTCGCTGTCGCAATGCAACTCAGACTTCTGTCGTTTTAGAATGGGATCATATTGAGTTAGCAACCGCAGATGTTATCTCACTCTCCCTCTTTCGCAATGGACAAAAGGCTGGAAACATCCCAAGGCCGAGTCAAATGCTGAGCACAAAGATCAGTGGTTTGGCTGTTGATACAGAATACACGTTTCACCTGCTATTAAGAACGAGTGCCGGAACTTTTAGTAGTGAGAAGGTGGTTGTGAGGACACACAAAATGACGGATCTAAGTGGTATTACTGTTACGCCTGGCATTCTGCCCGCTTCATTGAGGGATAGTCTTGTCAAAGCAGTTGAGAGGATTGGGGCGAAGATGGCAGATACTGTGAGAATCGACACAACACACTTTGTCACAACAGAAGGAAGAGGTATAGCCTGGGAGAAAGCCGTCGAGATGAATATTCCAGTTGTAAGGCCGGAATGGGTTGAGGGCTGTGAGAGAGGTGGAAGAATCGTGGGCGTTAGGCAATATTATCTTGATGCGGATCCAAAACAGAGACAAATAGTTTCGAACACACCTCCAGCTCAACCAGCACAGGCTGAACCGTCCAGAGAACAAGTCACTACACCAACTACTTCACCACCACCCACGAACACGAACACGAACGGTCAAACTGTTCCTCCTACTCCACCCGCAAAAGATACACCTAAAGCAGATAAGGAGGAGAGAGAGAAGGAACAAGAAGATGGTGATTCTAGTAGCGACTCGGGGGAAGGACAAGAAAAGCAAGAGACAGAAAAGACAGCAGTTCCCGAAGAGCAAAAGTCTCGAGCTTCAGATGTAGAACAACAGAAACTTGCTCTACGACCTGCAGCGCCATTTGGAGTATCAGCAGATGACTTGACTAAATCGGGCGAAGAAAACACATCCGGGAATCAGACGCCAGGAAATGCTAGCTTTCAAGACGTCGCTTTGTGATAGATGATCGAAGAATATTTCATCTTTGTTACTGTTATACTATGATCAATGTTTTGGAATGGCTAGCAACAACAATTGTTGGCGGCCATGGTGTTGGGATGGGAAGAGAGATTCATTGCATTGCTTAAGCGTTTCTTAAAAAATGGTTTCTACAATGGCTTGAAAATATGAATATGTAATGAGCTCTCGCCATCTTTGTGATTATAGATTCGCAATTTTCATTTGATCTCGCTTGAACATCAAGATCCCCCTTTTTTAGACATCGTGAATTCATCCAATGACTAATTCCTATTCAAACATTCAAACTTAGAGTTAATCTCTAGTTAGCCTAGCTACAACCCCCACAAACCCGATCTAAAATGCAACATAGATGCATGGAAAGATCGACCGCCCGATGTCAATGGATCGTCCAGCCACACCCGCCACTTGTAAGGATGGCTCTTTCAAAAAATATATCAATGATGCTGTCATTGTCATTGCAATTGATGTCAAACAAAACGTCATGCTCCTCCCCTCTACATGATCTTTTTTCGTACTCACGCCAATCTTCAAATTCCTACAAGACAATATAATCAATTGAGAAAGAAGAAAAAATGGCATGGTCACTAGTTTGTCCCGCAAATCGAGGAATTGGTTTCTACCTAACTCGACATCTCCTTCAAAACACACAGCTTCCTGTCGTGGCAACGTCGAGGAAAGATATTGAAGGAGCGAAGAAATCTATTTTGGCAGACTTAGATGTTGATCCCAAGAGATTGACGGTATTGGAAGTCGATGTCACAAGTAAGTGATTCATTGTCTCACTCAATCACTCAAAAAGAGTTCATAAATCATATTGGAAATTTATAAATTCCAACATCAATATCCCCCAAATATAAAATCTCAAAATCCTAACACAATCTAGATGAATCCACCATCTCCTCCGCCGCAGAAAAATGTTCATCTCTCTTCCCCTCCTCAACCCACCATCTGCGTCTCGCCTTTTCCATCCCCGGTATCCTCTACCCCGAAAAATCACCCGCCCAATTAGACCACTCCCAAATCCAACACAGCTTCGCCGTCAACACCATCGGTCCCCTCCTCCTCACCAAGCACTTTTCCCCCTTCCTCCCCCCCAAACGTCTCGATCTCTCTTCCTCTCCCGACACAAAAAATCTGCCACCCCACGCCCTCTGGCTCAACATGTCTGCTCGCGTAGGTTCCACCTCGGATAACGCACTCGGGGGATGGTATAGTTATCGTGCTTCGAAAGCGGCGGTGAATTCTCTAACAAAGACGTTTGATCTTTTCTTGAAAACGAGACATGGGGATAATGCGCTGGCGATTTCGTATCATCCGGGGACGGTCAAGACGGGCTTGTCAAAGGAGTTTTGGGGAGGTGTCAAGGAGGGGAAATTGTTCAGTCTCGAGTTTGCGGTAGAGAAGTTGTGGGATGTTGCGATGGCGAAGGGAATTGAGAGTAGAGGGCGTTGTTGGGATTGGAGGGGAGTGGAAATTTCGCCTTGAGAAGAGCGTGAAGGGCAGTGTGGGAGATTATCTGACTGTTATTGTGAAGCTAACACCAGTTCTTGATGCTGGTACTTTATAGTTTCTCACTCTTGTACTGTTAATATTTCCTACGTTGTATGACTTACGATACTTTGGCATTGATTGTCACTTTGAAGCGCAAGCACCTTTGTTTCTCATTGATGTATTCATATCTACCTCTTCATAGATTTTACGGGCAAATATTATATAAGCTAACGTTACATGTCCTCTTTTTCATCTTCGTATGATTCGAGAACCGTAAACTCATCCACCGCAAGTACCTTCAAAATATCCATCAATATAGCAAACTGCAGCAACAATAAATCTTTGTCCGGTTCCCTGCCAATACCTTTGATAACCTTTCAAATCCTTTATAAACCCCTCTTAAAACATAGCAAATGTCCACTAATATCTCTCTCGTTCAGCTGATCTTGAACCGCATGCCCGGGTCTCGAGTTAGCAGGTGGCATAACCTTGAAACGCTCCAAACCAATATTACAAGCACATCAACCAAATCTCCCCACCCAATCCATTCCCACCTACATCCATACTCTCACCGTCATCTTGATCAACCCAGATTTTTCCCTTGGTAGCCAGAGATAAAATGTGTAAGAACGCTTGAGCTGCTACAACCTCGCTATTCGTTTTCGGGTTGAACAAATCCTCGAATCCCACTTTCTTATCTCTCAACTGACCATCCTCGTGAAAGAGATCTTCCTCGTCGTCATATTTCTCTGCGATGGATAGTCGGACAAATTCGAGGAAATTCTCACTTTCTGTGTCCATGACGTCTCTAGCCCACTGGCTTTGTCCTGCCGTCTGTGTATCCACATTTGCAGCGGGCCCGAACATTTCAAACTCCTTAGTTGACTCCCGGACTGATTGTTCAAACGCTCCCAAATTCGTTCCATCGACACTATCACCACCCAGATTGGTACTGATATCATCACTTCTTCCATACATAATAACATCCTGCTGTGAAGAGAACTTTTCCAACTCACCTCCACCAGGCAAAATGTTACCTCTTCCCACCAAGGGACTGGCAGACACTCCTCTGCTACCGAGTCTGAGCGAAGAAGCGGGTCGTAAACTTGAAGAGCGAGCTCTCTGACTGGCAGACAAGTTCCACGGCATCATCGCACTGCTTGGATATTCGGCTAATCCCTCCGCTGCATCTCTACCCATTTCCACCTCGACTGGAGTACCGAATCGCTCGTCATCCACTTGTATGGCAAAATCGTCGTCACCCCTGGAACCACGAGGAATTTCTTCGTCGGAAGAATAGTGAGATCGCTTGTTAGGAATATTGCATTCCTCTTCGAAGTCTGCTTGACGTTTAGAAGAATTCAACACTCGCCCTGTGATCTTTGCAAGAAGTGCATCACCCGAAAACATACTCAAAGGGCCCGGAAGCTTTGTTGAACCAATCCCAATTCCAGCACCATTGAGACCATTTCCAATCACGAACATGAGAGCATTTTGTTTGGCCAACGCGTTTCCCTTCGCTGTCAACTTTGCTGCACGGAGACTGTCTTGAGTATCGACGTACTCTCTTTGCCAGATTGACAGAACTGAATTCTTGAGTTCTTGCGTATGGTCGATAGGAAGTTGTTTCTTGGTCTTAGGTTTTCTAGGACGCGAAGGTGCGGCTGCACTTTCAGATGACGAATCTTCAGACTGTGAGAGCGACTTTTCGCGGCCCGTCAAAGGAGCAGGTAGAGCACCACTCATGAAGACTTCGAGAGGCTCCGCATCAGGTAACACGATTCTGCCATCATCCTCTCCAAACACAATGTTCAAATCTCCATCTTCGTCGTATATACGGGCGTTATCTCCAGCTTGAAGCCTAGCATTGTCGTGTTCTTTGCGAACTCTTGCACTCGCAGCCGATTCGTTACCAAACCTCGGGGCTACACTTGAATTTGCTGCCCGTCGAGCGGCGATATCTTGAGCGGTCAGATCTCTCATTTCCCCGTCCTGATCAAATTCAAAAAGTTCATTGTCTTCGAATAAGATAGCTTCGTCGTCAAGTTCATCTCTCCGAGTACCCGATTTCAGCGCGGAAGACTTTACAAATGGATCGTTCAGAGGAAGCTGGTAGCCACCCGCACTGAGACTTGAGGAGATGTTCAAGCCCATAATGGAAGCGCCTTGGGAAGAGGAAATGGAGCTACCCTCGTCCGCGTTGTGAGTGAATCGATAATGAAACTTGGGAATCCCGATTTTGCGACTGCTGGCCACCAATGTCAAAATTGTAATCTGGAAGTAATTCTGGAAGTGCAAGATCTGGATCAAATGCAGGATCATCCACGAGCATCAATTGAGCTGGTCTTGTTTTCAAAAAAGTCAGCTTGGCCCATCATAAATTGAGGTCACGATGCACAAAACTTACTTGACCTTAACAGTTTCCAAATCCAAGCTCCCGATTAACTTTTTTCCAAGTCCCCTCAAGTTCTGCTCAACATGAATAGTATCACTCAAGACGTACCCAACCTGTTGACCATAAACTCTTGAAACGCCATACAAAAGATTACTCTGTAGACGTAATGCCATAGGAGCATCAGGCTCGATGATTGTATTGCAGGCTTTCTTGACGTCAACATCGAGGATGGCTTTCCGGGTGATTTTCTTAGTCGATGATTTACTACCTAGGGTCGCAACAAGCCATACCGTTGCAATACCATGTTTTCGAGAGGTGAGAACTAGTAGTAGAATTAGAAAAATAATTATGGAAAGACAGTTGAAATGTTAGAGAAGCAAATATGCAGATAAGTGAGATATGCAGTGAAGAGTTGAGCGCAGATAAGAGACATACTTTCATGGCTGTAGAACATTGTTCCTAATCTGATTCGATTTGAATCACTTCACAACGAGTAAGTTTACTACTGATTGTGAATGCGCACGCTCAGTGGTCTTCAATACCTTGATTCATTCGGTCAAATTGAAAAGTTGTCTGAGGTTGTATGGAGAAGTATGGAGAAGGTACAACTACAAGATGGGCTGAAAATTATAGAAGAGAAAGTAATTGAACCTGTAGTAGGTAAGCTGATGGAGAGGAGAAACCAATTTGGTGATACAGAACTTTGAGATTTTCAGAACTTGAGGCAATTTTCCAGCAAAGGAAGGTGTGCTCGCGTGCGGTCAGATCGGCCACCTGAAAGGTGAAGATACATCCCCTTCTCGAAGGGTGAGAATATTGAAACGCTCATAAAATCAAGGCGTGTGGAGTAAGACGTGGTAACATAGGTATGCATATACACCAGAAAATCATTCATCAGAGACACATACGCATCAGCAAAAGTAATCACGAATTATGGAAAGTTACTCGTTATTTTTGTTAATGAATTGACTCGCTCGGAGCAGTAACTCACAAGGATTGGAATGTATGCGCTATGATCTTTATAACTCCATCATACCATGCTATCACTATGCCTTTATGTTTCAACAAATATGAGGTCTATAATCCTTCGGTGATGCTAGCTACAATGCAAAACCCATTAATTTCAATAGCATGCCTTCATCCTTGCATATTTCGATGAAGGCTACACGCCTAACGCCTAAACTACACCCGGTGTAGTTGTTTATTTTCCTTATCCACCTGTCATAAATTCGTCGCAGATCAACTCTGTGTCTAACTTGCATTACCCACTCTCTGTTCGGCGTATTGAGCTGTTTTCTCCCTTTTCGGTGTGTTTGATCTTAAGCTCGTTTGCGACATCTTAGGGTGTACAAGTGGGGCCGTAGAGGTTGAGTTGTTAGCAGTGTGATGCATACTCGGTTGTCTCGATGGCGCGTTGAAGGGAGAGTCGCCTCTGGCAATTTCATCCTGCTGCCAGTTTTGAAATTCTCTGGAACTCCAACTTGCTCTATGGACACGTGCTCCATATGGAACACTGCCAAATCCTGAATGCTGACTGCGCATACTTGCGGCTCTGCTTCGAGCAGCAGGCAGTGAGGGCTGTGATGTATTTGGATCCCTGCTTCCTCTCATCTCCGGCATCTCTGGCACAATATCCTCATCTTCGATCTTAGGGGCTCGGCGAACTTGTGTAACGCTGAAGTATGGTTCCTTTGGCTCCTCGGGGACCGGTGGGGGTGGGGGTGGAAGATCGACAGCTTTCAGTTCCAGATGATCGAAGTATTTTGTGCGAATGTTTTGTAGGTTGCGTGGCTTGAAGTCCTCACGATTACGCATGATTGACATGTAGCTTGAGATAGTTCCGAGAACGATGAGTATTAGCGAGCCAATTGTTAAGAAACCTTGAATAACAATTATAATGACTCCAATGACTGTGGTTGGAATGCGTGCAACATTATACCGTGGGAGGAATGCGACCGATAGACCTGCAGTAGCAACCTTACTGATGCCAAGCATGTAAACTGCCAGGGCTGTATTACGAGCACCCTCGAAGGGGTTGAGGCATATGATAGTAATGAAGGCAATGATCTCGATGACGAGATTACCGAAAACTTGTGCCTCGGGATTAGAACGAGCACCTCCAACGAAACAAGCTCTGACGAATTGATATACAACCCAGAATGCGAAGAACCACCAACGGGTTCTTCTGTATCGAGCTGAGAGCCAACCAAATCGCTTAGTGTATTCCTCATCCTGGTGTACACTCTGTCTCTCCTTGTCTAGGTCAACGTAGTGCAAGCGAAAGAAAGATATAGAGCCAGAGGTTTTTGCTTTCTCGCTCTCCTCCATGCTACTCTCTCTGACAGCTCCGTACCATGGGAGAAACTTCATAACTTTCTTTCGTTGAAAATGTATTCGATCAGGAGCCGAGGCATAATTGCCGAATCTAAGTCTGAAGTAGCAAGCGTAAAAGGCAAGTGCCAAAATTCCGAAAAAGAATATTATGAAGATGATGGCCGCAATTGCGATGATGCCTGTTGTGCCCCCATAAGAAAATTGGTAGAGCGACAAAGTCATTATCGTGAAAAACCCAATAAGCATTGATCGCAGAACGATTAGTCCACTGATTCTGATCCAATTGTTCCTGAACAACGCAAGCCTATCTTCCTTCATCCATCTCATCTTGCTAAATGCTTCCAAGATAAATTTGAAGGCAACTGCAGAGGCAACAAGAATAATAATCAAGATTAGGTACCATAGAAAGCTGACCAAGAAAGCATCCTGTGCCGGAATGTCAATATTGGCGAGTGTTCCTGTGAAATTGGACCAGCTTCCAGGCAATGGCAGCCCAGCTCCAACAGGAGTTCCATTCCAACTATACCCTTTAGTAGCATTGTCGCTAGTGGCACGTTTGGTCAAGGATCCCATTCTCTTCACCATCTCATTGCCCCTGGCCATTTTGGACCAATGACTATACTCTTGCAACTTCTTTAGGGAACGTCCATAGATTTGCTGTTGCAGTCCGCCGTTATTGTTAATGGTAGAAGATCCGGCACCACCAACCTGGCTTGAATTTCCGGATATTCCAGTGAAGCTATTGACTGACTTGATCATGGATGGGGTGTGGATCAAACCTGCCGACCAAGCAAAATTACTCCAGAATGCCGGTAAAACACTTGGCCAAGCTACCGACAAAGCCCCAGAAAGGAAGATCGATTGGAACACTTCGAATACCACCAGTACTGAAAGGGAGTGGGCATAATGAGTTCGAATATGCGGTACGCTGACTCCGTATATGACTGTAGCAAATGAGGAAAGCACGGCGATTGCCGTGAATATTCCCAAGACTGAGCTGACAGCAGCCGGGTGGGAAAACGATGCCCCATTCCTCATAACAGCTTGGAAACAAGCAATCTCAGTTTTTGTGCTATTCGAAAATACCCGTAAGGTAGCAGATCCTTCAAAATCTGGGATTACCAATGCAATAGCCGGAATTCCGGATACATCTGATTTAGATACTGGAATAATGGCTTCGCCGCTGATTGGCTTGCTGCTATTCATGGGACATAGACTGTACTGGTGGTTAGTCAAGTCGGGTTACAAGAAAATTGTACTGACCTGGCGAAATTTGCATTACATGGATTGAAGGTCAAATCGAACCTATCCTCTCCATCTGAGTCAAATATTAGTATCACATCTTCACGACAGGTCATTCTACATACAAGCTTGCACACCAATATGTACTAAATTAAAGGTTAGCCAAGTTCCTTTCATCCATCGAGGGCAACCTACTCATTACCGACTCATTTTGTAAATTCGTGTTACCAGCGAGATGAAACAAAACGGTCATATTATCGGCGTAGTAAGCCGCGTCGAATGTCGTAACATTAATTAAACTCTGTCCACCCATACAATCTCCAAAATTCCCTGTGAACAACGCCGGTGTTCGACTGTCAAGTAATTCAACTGTCTCTCCTGCAGAGTTCGTCCCGGTAACAAATGTGGCACTTGAATCCGCAGAGACTGAAGAAATGAAATTAAGAATGGCGAGGGAAGATAGTAGCGCGATGGACCATGAGGCCATGAGGGAAGGTTTTCGTGCCATCGTCAAGACGGTTGAATTGATTAATATATGGAAGCTTTCGGGGGGGAACAGGCGTATGGGAAACTCCGCGCCAAAGGATGTTTTCGAAAGTTGGTCGAGAACGAGTAGGTCTGTTATTTCTGGTCGAGGAGGGTACTGTGATCGACTGTCTCTATGGACCCCTCAATGTAAAATCGTAGCTCACCTAGCCTCCAGCCCACTGGATCAAGAGATCACCGTTTTCGGAGGTGCACTTTATGACGTAGATCAATGGTCGAACTCGTAACAGTAGGGAATATCGTAAAGGTGTCGCGAAAATATAGTGAATCTGTGGTGAGAGGTATTTCGTCCGAAGATATGAATCCGCTTGGTTTTGCCAGCAATGTCAAATTAAGAATCAACCACAACTCAGAGGATTGTAGTCGAGATTATCAGGTATCATGTTCAATGATTCCCTAATAGTTGTTCATTTTATCGTTAAGCAGCGAGCGACAATGGCAGATGTATTAGGATACACGCGGCTTCTATCCGTGGGTAAGAACGACAGAGGGGTGGTATAGCTCTCAAGAGGTAGAGATACGGCGGTGTTAAAGGGTGTTAGAATTTAGGTGGGTAGAAAGAGAAAGGGAAGATGATCTTGGTGGAGACAAGCTCAGAAACTGTAACAAAGTGGGTTTAACTGGAATAATGGAGAATCCTTGGCTTTGGGTGGTTCTGGGTATTGGTCTTTTTTGTTTTTCGATAGTCTCGTATCGGAAAGTCGGACGCAGTTGATTAGTGGTTGACTTGGGTATCTCTGCTTGTTCCTTGATCTGTTGATTGTAACAGTGGTAGGTAGATATTTGAGGTGGTGTACGGAGCAGCAAACTAATAAGTGGCAGAGCACGCAACGCAAGTGCTTGGAGATTCTTCGGGTGATAAGGAGGACTCTTTGGGTTCAAACTTGCATTTGTCGGTGTTTGGAATGGCAAGGGTAATAATAATAATAATAATAATAATATCACGAAGCAAAGCCAGGGGTAAGACAGTGAGCTCGTATCGTTAAGTTTAGGGAATTGAGAATCGCGAGAAATGGAAGAACAAGTGATGTTGATATGTTTACTATTTACATCATATTGTCTGTGTTCATTTGACCAAGGAATTTCCACAAGCGCCAAAAAAAACATAGGAGACTGAGATTCTGAGACTCGGAGACTACGATGGTCCCCTGAGACTCTCCAGCGTCAAATTTCAAGCTTCAAAAAATCGAGCTGCAGTGTCAACGGTACGATTACCTGGTGTGCATGGGAATCTGATGCTTCTGGATACAAATAAAGCTAGAACATTCGGGAGCCAGGAGGTGAGAGAATTCTTGGGTGCTATCAGCCTATCACTGGTCCATCTTATCCAAC